GTATTTTTTTTCTCCATTTCTATTTAGGGTGTGATGTTGAAACTTGGACCAGTTGCAGCCCCTTCTATAACCATTCCATGATTAAATTTTCAAACAAAATCGGAATATTTTTTTATTTTCCGTAATTAGACCCCCTCAAGACATCAGACTCGCAATACATGGACATGAAATTGAGTGGGTTACCTCTTTTCAATACCTAGGAGTCATAATAGACAACTAGTTGAAATTCACTCAAGAAATTGAATATCTTCGGCAATGTTGTAAAGCCAGAAACTCAGCTTTGCGCTCCCTGACCAGTCTTAGAGATGGTGCATCTCTACCAGTACTCAAAATGTACTACGTTCAAGCAGTTAGGTCACTCATCGACTATGCTGCTCCTGCTCTTACATCCCTCAGTGATAACCAATGGAAGACACTGCAAGTGTCTCAAAATGATGCCCTCAGAACAATGCTGGGAGCACCTATATGGGCGCGTAGAGAGAATCTAAGAACGGAAACCAATTTACCAGCATTAGAAAACAGGATCAAACAAAGGATAGCCTCCATAACAGCAAAACTTGTTGGAACCACCGCCAGACTGTCAATCGAAGACAGCATACAGAGATCGCTTCAGAAAAATCTTCAATATAGAACAAGCACATGGATGGATAATCTGGTCAAGATTCTAGAGAAAGTGGACTTGAAATGGACCATTAAAAAAAGGAGTAGATAGACCATATCAACACTTTCGGCAGCCTCCTCCATGGGAAGAATCGAGTCTAATCTGGTAATCATTGAAGGATTACCAGTTAAAAAATCAGCATGTGACTCGCAGAGGCCAAAAGCAGTCATAGAATGACAAATAGAAACCATATCAAGACCTACAATGACTCACATCTTCACAGACGGATCAGTTGATCAAGAAAGAGGTTCTGCTGGGGCAGCAGTTTACACTACCAACCATGAAGCTTACTGGAGCATGAATAGTGGGTGCTCAACAATGCAAACAGAATTATATGCCCTGAAGGAGGCAATTCACTATTCAGTTGAGAATAATTTACATGATATCATTCATTCCGACTCTATATCTTTGCTCCAGGCATTGTTATCCAGTCAGCACAAAGATAATATACAACTCTTCATAGAAATCCAACATATAGGAAAAGAAGCCCATAATCTAGGGCTGTCAATTACCCTAAATTGGATACCAAGTCACATTGGCATAGATGGTAATGAAATGGCAGACTCATTAGCAAAAACTGCCACTGCTCTACCTGTTGTTCAGGTTGAAATACCTCCAAGTTTTTCACAGATTAAGGAGCAAATCAAGAAGAAAATAATCTCAACTGTCAAAAGTCGCCAAAACTGCCTTCCTCTCGAGCCAAAGTAGAGGAAGGAAGATCCAATGCTATATGGTACGAACAAGCCACTGGGTGGCTCTTTCGTACCATACGAACTTTACGAAAGTACGAAAGAGGTACCGTACTTTCGTATGTACCTCTTTCAAGCCTGGCAAAAAGATATCCAGAGACATTGCAGTACCCATACACAGACTCAAACTTGGACTCTTTACCCTTGTTACGGACTCTTTACCTTTGTCAGGGGGTAGAGTGGCAGTTCCAGCGCCATCTACGAGTCTGCACCCGAACTGTCCGGGAATCGTACGTAATATGGACAATGCCATCTGGTGGTGGTTATCTAGTAGCTGCAAATGGCTCAAGATTCCTGCCTTGGTCAGCCAGAGGGGTCGTTGTGAGTGACCTCTGGTGAGGAGACGCATCAAGACCAGCGCCACCTAGTGTGTGCTACAGAGCACAATGTAAACTCCCCAGTGGGTAGTGCTATTTCCTAGTTTCGCCGGTATCGGCAAGGTCATTGATGACGTTTTTGTGTCCACAGAGGTGACGTCTGGGGGCCGCGACACTGGAGACTGCAGTTCATCTTGGGCAGTCCACGGTCACCCTACATGGTCCTGGAAACGACCAAGTAAGCCGCCGCCGATGAAGCAGTGTGGTAGCTGCTAGTGCTTTAGTGTTGAAAAGATCGGCGTACCTTTGGGATTGCCTTAGTGGAAGGGGGGAGGGGAGAGACTGACGACATGGAGGTGCCTGTTGAGTAGTGCTGCTAGCTGGTCGCTAGAGACTGCTGCCAGGGGATCACTACCCCTGTATTGTAACTCCGCTCCGTGTGTGGCTGAGGTACTCTGCCAGCGAGTAGCTGGAGAGTGGTCGTGGGGGTACAGGCACCTCATGACACTGTCAGTGGGCTGGCCCACGTACCGGTGAACTCGTTGGTGTTCTTCCCAGTAAGATTGGATACGCTACTGGACAGTGAAGAAATACTGGGGATTGATGAACTCTGCACGTGAACACGTTTGATGACCAGACCACACACTAGAAGTTGAAAGGACGACGACGTTTCGGTCCGACCTGGACCATTCTCAAGTCCTGGACCATTCTCAATCAACTTGAGAATGGTCCAGGACGGACCGAAACGTCGTCGTCCTTTCAACTTCTAGTGTGTGGTCTGGTCAACATACTTCAGCCACGTTATTGTGACTCATCGCCTGCAACACGTTTGATATTCTGAGCGAAAGGATTGTACACAAGTGTTGAAATAGCCTATCTGTTCTTTCTATATTATATACCCTATTAATACCCTTGTTCTGTCTTGTGTTGATGAAATTAATACCCTATTAATGCCACATCTTGTTCTGTCTTGTGTTAATGCCACATCACCCCTTCCACCTCACTCAAATGTAGATATAAAATCGGAGATGCGTAAGTTCTATTCAGTTGTGTATTTGTGAACTAAAGTCTTTGAAAATGTAATAAGTTTTACGAAACGCGCTCGTGTCGCGTCAGACTAGAAATAAAAATGAATTTTGGAGAATTGATTTTTGATTTACCTCCAACAGTGAAAAGAAATGTACGAAAGATTGAGAAAATTCGTGTTAGAATTATTAATCTTACTTTTTCGGTCATATTTAATAATATATGTCTACAGGAAAGACTGCTACCAAAATATACTAATATATATATATATATATATATATATATATATATATATATATATATATATATATATATATATATATATATATATATATATATGTCGTACCTAGTAGCCAGAATGCACTTCTCAGCCTACTATGCAAGGCCCGATTTGCCTAATAAGCCAAGTTTTCCTGAATTAATATATTTTCTCTATTTTTTTTCTTAAGAAATGATAAAGCTACCCATTTCATTATGTATGAGGTCAATTTTTTTGTATTGGCGTTAAAATTGATGTAGATATATGACCGAACCTAACCAACCCTTCCTAACTTAACCTAACCTATCTTTATAGGTAAGGTTAGGATAGGTAGCGGAAAAAGTTAGGTTAGGTTAGGTAGGTTAGGTAGTCGAAAAAACATTATTTCATGAAAACTTGGCTTATTAGGCAAATCGGGCCTTGCATAGTAGGCTGAGAAGTGCGTTCTGGCTACTAGGTACGACATATATATATATATATATATATATATATATATATATATATATATATATATATATATATATATATATATATATATATATATATATATATATATTTAATTATGTTCAGATTATTTGAAAATATAATATTATCATTCATGTAACTGATGAATTCTCATAACATATGAACTTAAATTGGCCACAAAATCAATCTCCTGGTTACTTTAATGTCTTAGACAACCTGGAGCTACAGCATTGCAACACAATGTACTCAACCAACACTCACCTCACACATGCGGGAACTCAACGAGGGGCTACATGATGATCTGGAACAAGCTTCAGCTATTCTGACACAGTCCTTGGTGGTGTCATCATAGGATGTACCAAAGGAACTATATCCGCGGTAACGGGGGGTAGTCGGTGAGGAACAGTGAATACGTCCGCTGCCACATTGTGAGCTTGATCTAGTCCAGCTCTAATGCACAGAAACAAAAGAAGTCATTATTATAAAACATAGGACCAGCTTATTCCCATAAATGGGTCAACCCATGCCATTGTAGGTGCAAGCCCAGTGTCCTTGTTACCACATACCCAGTACCTCCAGTGTTCTTGTTAGCATGTACCCAGTACACTAGTGTTCTTTTTACCACATTCCCATTACCCCAGTGAACCTGTTACCACATACCCAGTACCCCAGTGTTCTTGTTAGCATATACCCAGTAAAACAGTGTTCTTATTACCACATACTCAGTACCCTTGTTTTTGTTAGCATATGTCCGGTACCACAGTGGAGGCCAAGACCGTCAGTAGTTTCAAAGCGTTATATGACAAAGAGTGTTGGGAAGACGGGACACCACGAGCGTAGCTCTCATCCTGTAACTACACTTATGTAATTAACAGTGTTCTTGTTACCCCATAATCAGTACCCTAGTGTTCTTGTTAGCATATACCCAGTAAACTGGTGTTCTTTTTATAAAGCTTCTGGTCCGTCTGATAGTACCTATCAGACGAAAAAGAAGCACTAACAAACAGAGAAGGGTGCCACAGTAAATCACAAAAGAACCAGAAGCACTAACATGGTATGGCGCCACAAAATATCACAGACAGACCAGAAGCACTAACAAACAGGGAAGGACGCCACAGTACCTTACAGATGGACCAGATGCACTAACAAACAGGGAAGGACGCCACAGTACCTTACAGATGGACCAGATGCACTAACAAACAGGGAAGGACGCCACAGTACCTTACAGATGGACCAGATGCACTAACAAACAGGGAAGGACGCCACAGTACCTCACAGATGGACCAGATGCACTAACAAACAGGGAAGGACGCCACAGTACCTCACAGATGGACCAGAAGCACTAACAAACAGGGAAGGGCCCCACAGTACCTCACAGACGGACCAGATGCACTAACAAACAGGGAAGGACGCCACAGTACCTCACAGTCGGACCAGATGCACTAACAAACAGGGAAGGACGCCACAGTACCTCACAGACGGACCAGATGCACTAACAAACAGGGAAGGACGCCACAGTACCTCACAGTCGGACCAGATGCACTAACAAACAGGGAAGGGCCCCACAGTACCTCACAGACGGACCAGATGCACTAACAAACAGGGAAAGCCCCACAGTACCTCACAGACAGACTAGATGCACTAACAAACAGGGAAGGACGCCACAGTACCTCACAGACGTAGGGGTCCTCGTCGGAGCCGTCGCTACAGTGCTTGCTGGAGTCACACACAGAGGTAAGACTGATGCAGTGACTGCCCTTGAGACACTCGATATCATAATCGGAGCTGCACCTTGCCTCGGTTCCTGCCGGGAGAGAGAGAGATATCTTTAGAACGATGTTTTAACTAATGTATACATACCAAGATACTTTTACGCTGCTAGCTCCAGCTCTTGTGTCTCGCTTTCTATACTTCAGTCGATTAGTAAACAGGTTTTGGAACCTTTGGGGGATGTCATCTCTATTAATGAAAATGTAGATGGAGGCGTCCTCCTCCAATACTTTTCATTGTCCATCCCTATTATTTGTTCCTCTAACCCTAAAAAATACCTTACATTCATGTAATTCATTCAAGTTCACGGATTTCTTCCATGTTTATCCTTTGTTAAAGATCCTGCCTCTGTCCGGTTTGCTTACTTACCTAAATATTTTGTATGTCGTGGTTATATCAATTATGTTTCTTCACTCGTGCCTCTCAGCACTGGGACAAATCTGGTGTTATATCTCTTTCCTTTCTATTTTATTTGACACAAAATAGTCTGTATGCTGGTGTCGTGAATTACATAACTGGCTTCACATGTGTGTGATACTTGTGCTGGGTACCCGGTTGAACCCGGGTCTCCCACCCCCAGACATCCCCACCCTTTTCCCCCCTATTTCATATCTCATGCTTATACCCCCTCCTTCCTGTATTCACGCCCCCCCCCCCCATCCAACCTTCTCTAACTTTCTCACCAACATCTTCCCCGTCTCTTCACCTTTCTGCTAACATCATCTGTCTCCAGCTTATCCTTCCTTCTCTCTTTCTCTGCAAATATATTATAACGAAGCACTAAAATTGATAAATAAGTGTACTTCATTAAAATGTCAGGAGGGTAAAGGAAAGTCTAGATGCCGATATTTCATAAAGTGTAGCCCTGAGGCCAACCTCGACTGGCCTATGACACTCCCATACCCCACGGGCTGCATGTGTGAGAGTTGGGTGAGGCTAGCCCTAAGCATCCGGTCTCCTACCTCAGATATGTAATGGTATGTGCAGACCATAGCTCCTTCCCCTTCCCTCGCTTGCCTTCCCTCCCTTTGGTCACCCCTCCCATTCATCACAGTCTGACCCTCGTGGCCATAAACAGTTTGAAGTCACTTGTTCCCCTCCCTCTCCTGTCCATCTCTCCAGTGACGAATTGGAAATAGTACCTCAGGGCCAATAAACTTGTGCTCTCAAGTTACACGTGGGAGCCCGGCCAACGTTCCCACAGGACGGTAGTGGTGCTGTCCCAGTTACTGGAGTTTTCTGTCAAGAGGAATTGACCCTTATGGTCAAGCCTGATTCTGATTGGTTGAAGCCATGGAGGCCTGTGGAGGCGGGGTCCCCACAGGGTAGTGCCTGTTCATGCCATTGGCCAAGATTCTAGATCACCCAGTTGTGTTTAAATCCATTGGCCATAGGCTTGGGATAGGCGGAGTTAAATTGGGCCTAGGAACTAGGGAGTGGAGCCTATCCCACTGGTAAGCGTTTTTAGAAAATATTAGTTAGTGTGTCTTGGGGCTTACTGGGGTACAGGTCTCCTGACATGTAGGGCCAGCCATTCAGCATCGTGGCCGAGGCTGTAGGATTAAGGTAATGTCTGTCTGAGTTTTGGTACAACAGAAATACACCTCACAATTTTTCCAATTTGCCTCTTAGGATGTACTAGGACCTTTCAAATTTGATTTTAATTTACGTGCTTAATTTAATAAAGAAAAATACATTGGTTCCAGTGGTATTCAGTTAATCCCCTTTTTAATATATTTTTCTACTTTGTCATTTTGTATATGTGGTTGATATATTGGCTTGGAAAGTTTCTGTGTTCTCCTCCATCTTATGAATATTAAAGTCGCTCTTGAATTCCCTTTTCAGTTCAGTAAGATTACAGTATTAATCCAATTAAGTTTCATTTACTTGCCCCTTTGAGTTCCAGGATTATTGAGTCCCTTCCTTCCTGGGGAAACAATAATTTAGACACATTCATTTATGGTTGGGAAGATGGTGGCCATGTTTTAATGATTTTCATTATTAGTTATAAATTAATAACCCCTATTCTTGTTGTGTCTTCCTAATTTATTATTCAACTTATATTCGTGGCAGTTCAGTGAGGGGGAGTCATACTGGACTGTAACAGAGTTAACCTGGGGTATTGGATGAAGGGAAAGAGTAGAGAGAAGTAAGAAAAGAGTTATTACAACAAGGGTAGCGTTCATAGATATTTCAGACAGATAAATATGAAATCTCTCTTCCCCCTCCCTCATCTCTCTTCTGCCATTCCCCCCTCTCCTCTGATGATGATGAATAACTATAGATGATGGTACTATGAAGAATAACACTGTTAATCATCATAGTACCTCTAAGTAAGACACAAAGTACATTAACAAGTAACAAAACAGACATTATTGCTGCCTACAGAGTAGGCAAAAAGAATCCATCAGGACAAAACCAGCGGAAAATTCGCCTGAATCTGTCGTCCCAGTCCATGAAATCACATCTTGTCCGGACAGCTGCATCCCAACGACAGGGAATCTACATCAACGAGTGCTTGACTACAAAAAGACAGCATCTCCTCCACCGCCTGCGTCAAATCCGTCATCAAAACCCAGATGCAATTAATCAGTGCTTCGTTAGAGATGGCGTGATTAAAGTGAGAAAGACTTCAGGAGGTAGAATGTTTACAGTTGCTAATGAGGATAACCTCAACACTTTCCTCTCCCAGTGTGGTTTGTCTCACCTTATTATCACTCAATGAGTCAACATAATTAACCCCCTTGTCACCTACTGCGGGCTAGGTATCCTAAGTCTATTTGTTTCACTTTTTAAATTAATTTTTAATTTACTTTTTACTAGTCATTTATTGGACTTAATTAATTGAGTCCATTAATATTTCTTTAGGTCTTATTAATTATACGATCATAACTAAACTATTTATAGTTAATAAAGATTAGCTTAAATTTGCCAATGTTTATTATTCAACTTTTTTCTTTGATTACATTTATTACCTAGGTTGCCTAGCCTCGCCATACTCCCTTACTCCATTGTACCCCTGGCTTTGCCTGTGTCTCAAAATGCAAATTATTACCTACAGTGTACCTGAGAGTACTTGCCAGCAATCTACCTCATTTTTCTTTTTTTGTTCATTTTGCGTTTGTGTTGTATAGTCTTGTTTATATATTTTTTCCCCCTTTTATATCAAAAAATTTATTTTGTAATTGCCATTCTTGCCTTGTTTTCCTACAACCAGCCTTTTAATGCAGACAAGTATAGACCCAGTACTAAACCTCTTATCCACTATCTATGACAATCCTCACTTTAATGATCAAAATTGCAGATATTTTACGGCACATGATGTAAACAATGTATTAATACATAATCACAGTATCTCTGTAATCAACTTGAACGTTAGATCTCTAGGTAAACACTTCGATGATGTTAGTGCCTTGATTGAAACTATTGACAACAAATTCTCTTTTATTATACATACTGAAACGTGGTTGAAAGAGGATAATACTCAACTCTTTAACATGCCTAACTACTCAGCAATTCACAACTGTCGTCAAATGCAGAGAGGTGGTGGTACTGCTCTTTACTACCACCAAGAATTAACATGCTTAAAAATAATTAGAACTAGAGACTGCTGTGGGGAGTATATCTTCGCCAGTTTCAGAGTCAAGGGTGCCGAGTCTGTCCTGTCTGTGGGTGCAGTCTATAGAATTCCCAACACTGATGTGTCCAAATTCAACTCAAACCATAGAAATCTAATACTAGATAACAGACTGAACAAAAACCATCTAATTATCGCAGGGTACTTTAATATTGACCTCTGCGAGCCTGAACACCCTACTGCTGTTAGCTTCCTCAACTGTATGAATTCCTGCTTCCTCATACCCTTAATCACTAGACCTACTAGAATCACTGATAGCACTGCCACGACTCTAGATCACATCTGGACCAACATAACCTCTCCGCTTACTTCAGGTATAATCACCGATAGCACTACAAACCCCACATTTCTCCTAACATTAACAAACCACCTCTAGAGACAAGAGAGTTAAGCTTTAGGCTGCACAATGAAACTGCTATAGGCAATTTTATAACTGCTGCTGCTAATGTCAACTGGGAGTCAGAGTTAGGTAACATAGGAGACATCAACCTAGCAGTGCAATCTTTTCTTCAAAAAACTCTCAGCCTTTATAACACCCACAGTCCTATGCTAACGAAATAAGTCACAACCAAAAGGCTAAACAATCCTTGGCTTACAAAGGGAATACTTAAATCCATTAATAAAAAACATGACCTTGAGAAGAAGTATAGGTTAGGAACCGTCTCCAAAGAATTCTCAAAAAATTACTCGTTATTGCTATCTAAAATAATTAGAAGAACCAAAACTAAATACTACGAAGATAAATTTACCCAAACAAAGAGCAACATTAAGAAAACATGGAACACAATTTCACAGATATTGGGATCAAAGAAGATTTTAAATAACAAACCAATACTCCTGTCCAATAACGATGGTCAGCTTTCAGCCTCTGATTCTGCTATTGAGTTCAATAGGTTCTACTCTTCCATTGGTTCATCCCTTGCAAATGATATTCCATCTTCCAGTACTGATGTTAAGGACTATCTTACAGGTAACTATCCACAGTCTCTGTTGTACCTAAAGCCTACAAATTCCACTGATGTTAATGAGATAATCCTTTCCCTTAAAAAAAGGCTAGTGCCCTTGAGGAGATACCAACTTTAATTTACAAAAAAACTCCAGATCCCCTGCTATTGCATTGCTCTTCAATAAGTCACTTAAACTCCAAACCTTTCCAGATATTCTAAAAAAAAGCGAGAGTAACCCCTGTCCACAAATGTGGTGATCTCACAGTTGTTAACAACTACAGACCTATATCAATCCTGCCTAACTTGTCAAAAATATTTGAAAAACTAATCTACAAGCAGCGTTACTCTTATCTAGCCAAACACAATATACTTAGCTCTTGTCAATATGGCTACAGACCAAAAAAAAGCACTAACGATGCACTTATTAATATGATTACCTTGATTCATGCAGCTCTGAGTTCCTTCATGCTAAAATGAGTTCCCTGTTGGGTTATTTGTGGAACTGTGTAAGGGTTTTGACACTGTCAACCACCAAAACCTTCTTCTTAAATTACATCATTATGGAGTCAGAGGTCACTCCCAGCAATACCTCAAATCTTACCTTACTGACAGGCTCCAGTATGTTTCTGTGAATAATTAATTTTCTCCCACCCTACCCATCAACATTGGTGTTCCTCAGGGCAGCATACTTGGCCCTCTCCTCTTTCTCATCTACATTAATGACCTTCCAAATGCCTCCCAACACCTCAAACCAATTCTATTTGCTGACGACACAACCTACATTTACTCCAGTCCTGACCCTCTTGCTCTAAATGTCACAGTAAATACTGAGCTAAATAAAGTCTATCTTTGGCTATCTGCCAACAAACTCACCCTTAACACTGACAAAACTTTCTATATTCTGTTTGGCAATAAATCCTCTAATCAAATAAATCTCAGGATAAACAATACCCAAATTTGTTACAAAATAGATGGCAAATTCCTTTGTGTTCTTATTGACCACAAGCTGAATTTCCAGGGTCACATTCTAAATATATCAAAAAAGTTTCAAAAACTGTTGCCATTCTTTCTAAGATCAGATATTATGTACCTCACATAATATCACTGCCCTGGTGACGCTCTATTACTCCCTCATCTATCCATATCTCAAGTATGGTATTTGTGCTTGGGGTTCTACTACCCAAAATCATTTACGTCCTCTAATTACTCAACACAAAGCTGCTATTAGGACAATATCCAACTCTGGCCCCAGACATCACTCGGTACCCCTACTCAAATCTTTGAATATGTTAGATATTAAGTCACTGCACATTCTCTCATGTGTGTTATACATATATAAAACGCTGAACTGTAATGCCGATCCTGATCTCAAAAGCTTCATTGTAGGTTGTAACAGAACCCATGAGCACCACACGAGAAACAAATACAGTTTTGATATTCCTAGAGTACGACTTAATCAAACTAGAAATGCTCTACAAATCAAGGGACCCAGAATGTGGAATGACCTTCCCAATCATGTTAAAGACTGTACCTCTCTCAACCAGTTTAAGATAAAAACAAAGCACTACCTAATAAATTCCCTGTAACCTACCTTACCCCTCTATTGTCAACACATGTCTGTTATTTTAAACAACGCTGTTTGTCGACCTAATTGTATTTGTGCTGCTTTTTCTGCCATGTTCCCACCTTTTTTATTTTTATTTGTATTTCTTCTCAACACATTTTATACTTTAATCTCAATTTGTATTAAGTTTTAGTCTTTAATCTTCTTCCTGCTCGAAACACTTAGCGTAATAGTTGCTTTAGGCATTGTATGTACTAGCTCTATCTATAAATCTATCAATTTTTGTATAACCTCTTGTATGTATGTACTTTACCTGAATAAACATTTATTTATTATTTATTTATTTATTTAAGTGCACTTTTATTCATCATAGTATCCCAAAGTACACTGTTATTCTTATTAGTATCCCGAAATACACTGTTATTTATGAAATTATCCCTAAGTACACTGATATTCATCATAGTATCCCAAAATACACTGTAATTCATTATATAATTGTAAAGTATTCCATTCTTCGTCATAATGTCCAAAAGAACACCTTTCACCTATCAAGTAAATTTTGTTCATCATAGTCGTGCAAAGTGCCCCGTTTTGGATCATAGTATTTCAAAGTACATTTACCATGATGAACTATGGAGTACTTTTGGATACTATTATGAATTATTTGGTTCTTGCAATATTATGATGAAGAAATGGTACTTTGGAATATTATTATTAGAGGGTTCTTGGGGTTAATATTTTGAATTAATTAACGGGTACTTTAGAAGATTATTATAATCTATGGAGGTACTTTGGTAGATTATTATGATCTATGGGTACTTTAGGAGATTATTGATGATCTACGGAGTACTTTGGGAGATTATTGTGATCTACGGGGTGCTTTAGGAGATTATTGATGATCTACGGAGTACTTTGGGAGATTATTGTGATCTACGGGGTACTTTAGGAGACTATTGTGATCTACGGGGTACTTTAGGAGATTATTGTGATCTACGGGGTACTTTGGGAAATTATTGATGATCTATGAGGTACTTTGGGAGATTATTGTGATCTACGGGGTACTTTAGGAGATTATTGTGATCTACGGGGTACTTTGGGAGATTATTGTGATCTACGGGGTACTTTGGGAGATTATTGTGATCTACGGGGTACTTTGGGAGATTATTGTGACCTACGGAGGTACTTTGGGAGATTATTGTGATCTACGGAGGTACTTTGGGAGATTATTGATGATCTACGGAGGTACTTTGGGAGATTATTGTGATCTACGGAGGTACTTTGGGAGATTATTGTGATTTAAGGGGTACTTTGGGAGATTATTGTGATCTACGGAGGTACTTTGGGAGATTATTGTGATTTAAGGGGTACTTTGGGAGATATATAAGATCTACGGGGTACTTTGGGAGATTATTGATGATCTACGGAGTACTTTGGGAGATTATTGTGATCTACGGGGTACTTTAGGAGATTATTGATGATCTACGGAGTACTTTGGGAGATTATTGTGATCTACAGGGTACTTTAGGAGATTATTGTGATCTACGGGGTACTTTAGGAGATTATTGTGATCTACGGGGAACTTTGGGAGATTATTGTGATCTACGGGGTACTTTAGGAGATTATTGTGATCTACGGGGTACTTTGGGAGATTATTGTGATCTATGGAGGTACTTTGGGAGATTATTGTGATCTATGGGGTACTTTGGGAGATTATTGTGATCTATGGGGTACTTTGGGAGATTATTGTGATCTACGGGGTACTTTGGGAGATTATTATGATCTGATACTTGGGAGACAGTATTGAACTAGCTTAGGTTACTGCGATGAAATATGGAGTAGTTTTGGTAAATCATGATGAACTAAAATGTATTTTGGAGTTCTCTACCGAACCAAAGGATACGATAAGGAAATTTAGGGTATTTTGGGAAATTATGGTAAATAATGAGGTCCATTTGTGAAATTTTGATAAACTAATGGTTAACACTTGAGACCATGAAGAACTTGGGGTACTTTGGAATACTAGGGTAAACTAAGGGGTATTACAAGATATTATAATGAATTCAGGGAATCCTTGGAAGATTATGATGAATTAAGATATACATTGGAAGACTTGTTAGTAATATAGGGTGGTTGACGAGACTATGATGAGAACTAGAATACTTTAGGATTCTTGGATTAAGAACAGAGTACTTTGGGAGACTACAATGAATTAAAGAGTACTTTATGGGACTATGATGAACTCCTGGATGCTTACAGAGACGAAGATGAACTACCGGGTATTTTGGGATACTATGATGAACGTGGTACTTATGGATAATGGGATAAAATGAAGGGTAATCAGTGAGATTTAATATTTAAGACTTATTTTGGGATGCTGTGATCAACTAAGGAGTGCTTTGGGATGTTGTGATCAACTAAGGAGTGCTCTGGGATGCTGTGATCAACTAAGGAGTGCTTTGGGATGCTGTGATCAACTGAAGGGTATTATTGGAGACTATATGCACAAAGGTGCATGTTATGAAGTTAAGATGAACTACAGAGAAATTTTCATTACAGTGATGAACTGAGATTCAAGTCCAAGTAAACACAAAAAAAGAGTATCAGGAAATGGATATACGGACGAACTGCATGTACACCAGAGATACAAGAAGAAAAACATTGCTAGAATTTGTGAATCTAATATGATTTGTTCTACAACATACATGAGACAAGCATTACAGAATGCATCTCTAGTGTGGAGTTGTGGCTTAAAAATGCACAAAGCTACGATTCGAACCTAAGCTAAAATTGGGCGAGTACAACAGCAGGTCAGGTCCCAGGAGCTAGAGCTTGACCCTCAGCAACACCTGGGTGAGTACAACAGCAGGTCCCGCCTCTCAGCTGTCAATCAACAGGTATACAGGTTCCTGAGCCTATTGGGCTCTATCATATCTACATTTAAAACTGTGTATGGAGTCAGCCTCCACCACATCACTGCCTAATGCATTCCATTTACTAACCACTCTGACACTGAAAAAGTTCTTTCTAATGTCTCTGTGGCTCATTTGGGTACTCAGCTTCCACCTGTGTCCCCGTGTTCGTGTACCACCCGTATTAAATTATCCATCCTTGTCTACCCTGTCAATTTCCCTGTATCCTTGCCTTCTTACGGCAATATGCTCGTAAAGTCTTACTAGCTTATTGCCCCATTACAAATCACCCCATTAAACTGTGCGACGATGGAAACAATGTAGTTAACTTGCCTGCCAGTAACACGGACGTAAGCCCCAGCAACCAGAGAAGTCTCACGTGAACCATGTCTGTGCCCTTTGCTGCTGTGGGAGGCAGAGGTCACTGCTGCTGTGGGAGGCAGAGGTCACTGCTGCTGTGGGAGGCAGAGGTCACTGCTGCTGTGGGAGGCAGAGGTCACTGCTGCTGTGGGAGGCAGAGGTCACTGCTGCTGTGGGAGGCAGAGGTCACTTCTGCTGTGGGAGGCAGAGGTCACTGCTGCTGTGGGAGGCAGAGGTCACTGCTGCTGTGGGAGGCAGAGGTCACTGCTGCTGTGGGAGGCAGAGGTCACTGCTGCTGTGGGAGGCAGACGTCACTGCTGCTGTGGGAGGCAGAGGTCACTGTATTTTATTATTGGTAAACAGTAAATTCCATTACAAAATCTTGCACAAGGCTTAAGAAAATTAATAAAATTAAAAATTAACACAAGACTGCAGACACAATGTCCCACCACGAGGGTACACTCTATACAACACAATACAGTATTGTATACCTGCAGGTACAGCAGACACAACGTCCCACCACGAGGGTATACTCTACACAACAACACAATACAGTATTGTATACCTGCAGGTACAGCAGACACAATGTCCCACCACGGGGGTATACTCTACACAACAACACAATGCAGTATTGTATACCTGCAGGTACAGCAGACACAACGTCCCACCACGAGGGTATACTCTACACAACAACACAATGCAGTATTGTATACCTGCAGGTACAGCAGACACAACGTCCCACCACGAGGGTATACTCTACACAACAACACAATACAGTATGGTATACCTGCAGGTACAGCAGACACAACGTCCCACCACGGGGGTATACTCTACACAACAACACAATACAGTATGGTATACCTGCAGGTACAGCAGACACAACGTCCCACCACGAGGGTATACTCTACACAACAACACAATACAGTATTGTATACCTGCAGGTACAGCAGACACAACGTCCCACCACGAGGGTATACTCTACACAACAACAGTCAACAACCCAATTAAAGGTCGTCCCACGGACGGTACTTAAGGTAAAGCTTAACTACGATGTTGTGGTGAGCACCAAGATCACTATGATGAGGAGTGGTCATGACGATGACGATGTTGTGGTGAGCACCAAGATCACTATGATGAGGAGTGGTCATGAAGCACCAAGATCACTAATATAGTGTGGTGGTGACGATGCATGAAGATCACTGCGATCTGGGGGGGGGGTGTTGTGATGAAGCACCAAGACCACTACGAAAGACGGGTGGTGATAAACAACAAAGGTCTCTACGATGGGGGAGGGGGAGTGAGTGTCGGAAAACCCGACAACATTTACCAATATTCTGTACAATATACAGATAATATTGCTGCTGTTTGTATTAAAATGTTAACCCTCAGAAAATAAAGACTAATGGAATTTTCCGTCGATAAAAAACGGGAGATCAATGCCACATCGCTTTTAAATTCACCAGGTAATTCTGTTGGGAATTATTCTTAATACAGTGGTGTTGGGACTGTAAATATTATAAAAACATTTGCCTTGAACCAACTGAATTAACAACACGAAAATAGATTGATATGAAGAAGCCTGATTCGAGGGTGGAGGAGACCACCGCTCGACCGCTCTCGCACAAGACAGCACATATATGACTTAATGTTTAAAGTCAATATGTTGAATATGAATTAGTACATATGTGGCATATCCCCAGTAACATTTTTTCCAAGGTCCAAACTCTTCCTCAGGTACCAATTTACATCTCACAATACCCGTCCATCGCCGTAGACAGCAGAATTGTCGTGATTGGCTATAGTGGACCCCATACCTATCTTTTTTTTTTTTTTTTTTTTTTTTTTTTTTTTTTTTGAGATATATACAAGAGCTGTTACATTCTTGTACAGCCACTAGTACGCATAGCGTTTCGGGCAAGTCCTTAATCCTATGGTCCCTGGAATACGATCCCCTGCCGCGAAGAATCGTTTTTTTCATCCAAGTACACATTTTACTGTTGCGTTAAACAGAGGCTACAGTTAAGGAATTGCGCCCAGTAAATCCTCCCCGGCCAGGATACGAACCCATGACATAGCGCTCGCGGAACGCCAGGCGAGTGTCTTACCACTACACCACAGAGACTGCATGGGTAGTTATTGATCCTATGGGTAGTTATTGGGCCCAGACCCATCCTACAAGTTGTATGGACCCCTTACCCACCTAACAGGTGGTAGACGATCCTATACCCATCCTACAGTAGGTAGTAGACACTCTGCCATCCTGTTTGCAGTAGTTTACCCCAAAGACATTCCAACGTAACATCGTTTTCTGTTGACGTTCCTAAAATACATTCTTTAAAGATTTTTAAAGCACAAACTAGTGTATATAATGTTGATTGATGAAGCACTATTATATTATGTAATAATTTATAGTCCTTATTATAATTTACTATGAACAAGAAATATTTCTCAAAACAAAACTACGAGCCTACAATAGGATATAGCTGATCTGTAATATTTTAAGAGCATGGACAACAGTAGGTAAATTTCACAACCCATGTGGGACCTGAAAACTACAATTTTCATTATAATTGAACCAATCACGACTATTCTGCTGTCTACGGTGATGGACGGATACTGTGAGCCGTAAATTGGTACGTGAGGAAGGGTTTGGGCCTTGGAAAAAATGTAACTGGGAATATACCACATATGTACTAATTCATATTCAACATATTGACTTTAAGCATGGAGAGTTATGGAGTGTAAATTAGTGCTTCCATTATCAACACGCATCGTCTACTATCAAAGGGAAGTATTTTTTCCGATTCCTGTATTATCTAGGTTATTAGAGGTCTTTAATATTCGATATTAAAGTAAAGATTTACAGTCTCCGTGGTGTAGTGGTAAGACACTCGCCTGGCGTTCCGCGAGCGCTATGTCATGGGTTCGTATTCTGGCCGGGGAGGATTTACTGGGCGCAATTCCTTAACTGTAGCCTCTGTTTAACGCAACAGTAAAATGTGTACTTGGATGAAAAAACGATTCTTCGCGGCAGGGGATCGTATTCCAGGGACCATAGGATTAAGGACTTGCCCGAAACGCTACGCGTAATAGTGGCTGTACAAGAATGTAACAACTCTTGTATATATCTGAAAGATATATAATATTAACGGTCAGGATGCAAGCGAGACACAAAATCATGGTAAATATTTCTTGGACTCATCTCATAAATCATAATTACTATATTCCTCTAATCTAGCTGTCATATATTAGGATTACTGCTATTATTTGCGAGTGCCCTTTGACAGGTGTAATTGAAGAGGAAGAAGTAATAACAATTACTTGGGACACCAGTACAAATGTAGATACCACCCTCAACCATGAGGATTATTTGGTGTGATCATTCTTGTTCATACTGGTGGAACAGGCCTACCTACAAAAAGATAATGCCTCCCAATTTAATCAGTTAAATATGTGGTTTAATACTGTAGTGAATGTCTACTAACCAATAATTTATATGGTTAACTAAATGTAAAGCATAACCCCCACCCCCAGTAATGTGTAAAGTAGTCGATTTGTGGGAATTTTAAGAAATAAAGTCCACTTTAACCATCAAACAATTTGCTACCGAAATATATAAAATAACATAAAATATAACATTCTATATAAATCTATATAAATTAAATAAATATAAATCTCACAAGTCGGTTTTCCACGGTGATGAAGCACCAACATCACTGTGGGGGGGGGGGGGGGGAATGAAGTACCAAGATCACTACGATAGTGTGGTGATGAGGCACCAAGATCACTATGATATTATAGTCGTGATGAAGCACCAAACTCACTATGATAGGGTGGTGATGATGGACCAGCTAGATCACTATGATATGGTGGCAGTGATGAAGCAACATATCACTATAATTGGGTGGTGATGATGAAGCACCAAGATCCCTACGATCTGGGAGGGGGGGGGTGATGAAGTACCCATATAACTATGATGGGTGCCGGTGATGAAGAACCAAAATACCACTATGTAAGGTGGGTGGTGATGGAGCACCAACATCACTAAGATAAGAGGATTGTGATGAAGCACCAAGATCACTATGATGGGAGGGGGGGTGATGAAGCACCAAGATCACTACGATAGGGGGGTGGTGATGAAGCACCAAGATCACTATGATGGGAGGGGGGTGATGAAGCACCAAGATCACTACGATAGGGGGGGTGGTGATGAAGCACCAAGATCACTCTGATGGGAGGGGGGGTGATGAAGCACCAAGATCACTATGATGGGAGGGGGGGGGGGTGATGAAGCACCAAGATCACTATGATGGGAGGGGGGGGGGTGATGAAGCACCAAGATCACTATGATGGGAGGGGGGGGTGATGAAGCACCAAGATCACAACGATGGGAGGGGGGGGTGATGAAGTACCAAGATCACTATGATGGGAGGGGGGGGGTGATGAAGCACCAAGATCACTATGATGGGAGGGGGGGGGTGATGAAGCACCAAGATCACTATGATGGGAGGGGGGGGGGTGATGAAGCACCAAGATCACTATGATGGGAGGGGGGGGGTGATGAAGCACCAAGATCACTATGATGGGAGGGGGGGGTGATGAAGCACCAAGATCACTATGATGGGAGGGGGGGGGGTGATGAAGCACCAAGATCACTATGATGGGAGGGGGGGTGATGAAGCACCAAGATCACTATGGTGGGAGGGGGGGGGTGATGAAGCACCAAGATCACTATGATGGGAGGGGGGGTGATGAAGCACCAAGATCACTATGATGGGAGGGGGGGGTGATGAAGCACCAAGATCACTATGATGGGAGGGGGGGTGATGAAGCACCAAGATCACTATGATGGGAGGGGGGGGTGATGAAGCACCAAGATCACTATGATGGGAGGGGGGGGTGATGAAGCACCAAGATCACTATGATGGGAGGGGGGGGTGATGAAGCACCAAGATCACTATGATGGGAGGGGGGGGGTGATGAAGCACCAAGATCACTATGATGGGAGGGGGGGGGTGACGAAGCACCAAGATCACTATGATGGGAGGGGGGGGTGATGAAGCACCAAGATCACTATGATGGGAGGGGGGGTGATGAATCACCAAGATCACTATGATGGGAGGGGGGGGGGGTGATGAAGCACCAAGATCACTATGATGGGAGGGGGGGGTGATGAAGCACCAAGATCACTACTATTGTTGAGTGGTGATGAAGCACCAAGGCAAACTGTATTCACCGATCAACCAACATGCCTGGTGTGTGGAGCGGTGCCCTGGTGTGTGGAGCGGTGCCCTGGTGTGTGGCGCGGTGCCCTGGTGTGTGGAGCGGTGCCCTGG